TTATCTCTGATGTACGGAATTGTGAAATGTAGGCATTCATTCAAGGGATTGTTTAGGGCTGGGGGATTAGCTTTGCCGATTTTTATATTTGGTTTCCTTCGTGAATTACTCGATAGAATTGAAATTTGTGATACCATTAATTCCTTCTGTTTGTTACAAAAGTGGAAGCCAAAACGAAAAAGTCTTCAAGAACCCCCAAACCCGGCCTTTTGCACAGTTCCTACGAGACATCAACTCTGCCAGGTAATTCGGAATAGGTGGTTATGCAAGTATATTTTGATGCAGCATTGCGACCACTGGGAAGGTCCAAGTAATATATTATTTTCCTAGTGCACCTTCCGGATAGACTTGGACATGTTTGATTGTCTATTTTTCTCCTTAAGCAAGCTTTTTTTCGCTCTATAATAAGTGGATATTTAAAGGTTCCTCCTCCAAAATTCAGACAGATTACTTCTCTCTTTTATGAATAGCTCGATAGACATGAAAATTGTAATATTATTAATTTTACTTATTTGTGATTAAAATAGAAGCCAAAAAGAAAAAGGTTTCAAGAACTACCAAACCCAGAATTTGGCACAGTGCTTACGAGACATCTACGCTACCAGGTAATTTGGAATAGTTGATTTTGCATGTATATATTGATGCAGCACTGCGTGCGATTACTGGTAAGGTCCAAGTAACATGTAATTTTCCTTTTTCCTCATGGACCTTCTGAAATTTTTGATGTTTCTATTTTTTCTCCAAACCAACCTGTTATCGCTAGGTGATAGATGAATACTAAAAGTTTCTCCTCCAAAATTCAGACAGTTGATTTTTCTCTTCTGCAAGTGACTCGTTAGCAAGAAAATTGTAATATTACTAATATGCTCTGTGTGAAAAACAAATAGGAGCCAAAAAGACAAAGTCTTCAACCACTACCAAACCCGGCCATTTGCACGGTTCCTACAAGACTTCTTCGCTACCGGGTAATTTAAACTAGTTGCCTTTACAAATATATTTTGATGCAATATTGCGATTACTGGGAAGGTCCAAGTAAAATTTAATTTTCCTTATGCACCTGCCGAAAATATTTTGGAAACTTTGATGTTTTTATTTTTTGTTTAAACAACCTTTTACCGCTCCGTAATAGACGTATATTAAAAATGTGTCCTCCAAAGTTCAGATCGGTGACTTTTCTTTATCGTAAATAACTAGAGAGAAATGAAAAATTACTAATTTGGTCTGTTTGTGACAAAAATAGCAGCCAAAAAAAATAAGTCTTCAAAAACTACGAAATCCGGACATTTGCCGAGTTCCCACAAGACATCTACGAAATCAGGTAATTTGTAAATTAATCGGTAGAAATGATAATTGTTATATTATCAATTTGCTTTGCTCTGTTTATGACAGGAGCCAAGAAGAAGAAGCCAACAAAATCTACCAAATCCAAACATTTGCACATTATCATCATTGCATCTAGGATACCAGGTAATGTTTTGCAAGTGAATATTGACCTTGTTATAGTTTTGTATGTAAGTTGGTTAACCCAATTTTAAATATTTTGATTCTGTTAGAATTTGGAAGTTTTTAGACCTTCATTGATCTAAAAATTTAGCTACAATTGAAAACCCGCCACCTGCAGGTTCATTCCTATCAATCCTATTAATGAATACAATTGTATTAAATAAATGAAGCATGCAATATCAAAATAACAACTTATTGGCTTAAAAGGAAAATTGTTCAATACTGCATTCTTTGAACGGTATATTTTTTAAATAATATCCTAGTAATGACAAAATTGCACAATTTTTGAGTACTCAGTTCAGAAGTGATTGGAGAAAAGCTGCTAATAAAATAAACATAATTTTTTATTTCAAAAAACGTTATTTATAGTATAGTTTTACGTTCATAAAGGAGCACTTATCACCTGTCGAGTTTAGGAATTTTTGTTTTCTTTTTCGTTATTGAGTATTTACTCTATAGTGACAAATTTTGACTTTAGCTATGATTTCGCCCTAATTATTCTTCTACATTTTTTGCTACATTACGCCAATGTCTCTACGCCTTGTAAATCTCTTTAATTCTCTGTCCAAGTAGACCTCTATTTTTTTGTTTGTAGCAGCTTAGATTGAGAAGCTGGCTAGCTAGCTAAGGTAGAACCTTAACAATCTTCAAGTTCTCAGAGTTTCCTCTGCGCTGGTCATTATGGCAAATGACCCTACCCATTTATTTGTTCCAGGTCCTGAAATAAAACCCAAACAAGTTCTTATTGACGCCAAAGAGCTTCCTTGCAATGATGACAACAGTCGACGAGACCGCAATGGCGAATGTCGAATAATTGCTTAGTAGTTCAGGAAAGTACAAAAAATATGAAATTTTTACTGTAAATCGACATTGAATTAAAAGTTAAAAGTGATATGAAACCGTTCAGAATATAATTCCAGATTTACCGAATTATAGTTTGGTTAAATTTTGGTTGGACTAGCATCTAGGAGATTTTAATAAATTTTTACGAAAACTAATATTTCCAACTGGGCTCAACAAAGCTTTATATTTTTGTATCTCATATTTTGCTACTCGTTTCTTTGTAGATAGAACATCAGTTATGTAACTTATCAAATGGAAACAATTTTGAAACGGGTTTTCGCCTGCACAACTAATTCATATAATGATTTCAGCAACGGAATTGAAACCCTATCTATTAGCGTAAATGCATATTATTTGTACTGGAAGGTACAGGGCTATTTTGATTTTATGTATTTCATACGCATATTTTTTACTTTACTTTAATTAATTAAATTAAAAGACAATTAAATTGCAAGCACTGAAACGACTCTGAATAACAACATTCGATATGCATAAACTTAATAAAAAGAAATACATACTATATGTACCATTCTCTTATACATGTATACTATACTACTACTAATATGTTTATTAAAGCCCATATGGTTTATAGAAAGCAAATACTAGTTGAAAAAAAGCAACGAGCAATATCAATAAATTATCAGTCAGTCGCTTTGATATTGTCTATAAGATGGAATCAAAGACAATAGTCTGAGGGCGGAAACAGCAAGAGGCCTCTGAAACGTTTTTTAAAGAAGGGGTGGTTTCTAATCACATATAATGGATTTGATCGGTGTCAAAATGACTTGAAATGCGCTCCAATCTCGACAGTCAGCTGGAGTCAGGCTAAATTTGCGCTCGCACACAATACGCGCGGATACGAGTGCTAATTACTTGAGTATTAGTGTTAATTGACAATCCCAATGTAAAACTGCTTGTTAAACCCAATGTAGAAACGTAGAGAAAACTGGAAAACCAACTAATGAAATGGGCCGTGGCTAAATTAAATAAATGTAAATTAAGGAATGCATATCCAACAGTAGACTCAAAATGGCTATGGATAAATATATGTGCGAGTTAGATATACAGGGTGTTCCGTAAATATGTTAAAATATTGTAACAACGTGTTCTTCTAGTAATTTTAGAGGGGGGTCTTCCTGAGAATTTTTTTAATTTGAAGTCTCGCTTTTGAGATATTTGATCTCTAAAATGGCGGAAAATACTAGTTTTTGTTGTTTTCCTTTAAAACGGTTAAACATGGAAAATTCAACTTTGGTATACATTATAAGCTAATTGAGTGCCATTTTATGATAGTGGTCCGTGGTTCAGTTTGGTTTTATACAGGGTAGAAATGTGGACCCCTACTTTTGTTTGTCTGCACTTAAACTTTTCTCGACATAATTTTTTTAATTAGCACAAGTTATTTACCAACTTTTTTATCTCTTATTGTTTTCCCCTAAGACCACTAGTTTGCCCGCAAAAAATAAAATCCTTTTCTTTGCCGTTCTCAAAATGTGTAAGAAATTCAGTTCATTTTTTAAAATCTGATAACGTTTTCATATAACAATTTTGGTACTCATTATTAGTTGATTTCTAACAACCTAAATTCTTTTTCTAAATTGTGTATTTTGGTTCAGATTACAATTATTAAGTTTGAATACATTTTACTTATGTTAATAATAACATGGTAACAATTTGCTCAACGATATAAACAAACCAAATTAAAGTTATATAACCATTATAATGTTAACTTAGCAGCTGTTCAAATCGGTCACCTTGAAATTCTTGGCATAATCGCAGTATTTTAATGAAATTAAAATTTACACTCCGTAAAGTTTGCACTGAAGTTCTTATTTCGTTAGAAATATTAAATATTCTCTCCTGAAGTCCTTCGATTGTATCCACTTTTGTTGAATATACCGTATTTTTTAAATGGCCTCAGAAGTGAAAATCAAGCGCGTTTAAATCGGTAGATCTAGGAGACGAGTTTATAGGAGCTTCTTGACCCCTCCCAATCCAACGGCTTGAAAAGTTTTGATGAAGCCGAAACAAACTAGTGTCCTTATGAAAAAATAATTAGAGATAAAAAAGTTGATAAATAACATGTAGTAATTAAAAAAAATATGTTGATTAAAGTTCAAGTGCACACAAAAAAGTTCTGAACAAAAAAAAAGTGGAAATTCCATATTTATACCCTGTATAAAAGTAAACTGAACTACAGAACACTACCATAGAATGGCACTCAATTAACTTATAATATGTATCAAAATTGAATTTTCTGTGTTTAACCGTTTTAAAGAAAAACAACGAAAACTAATACTTTTTGCCATTTTGGAGATCAAATATCTAAAAAATGAGACCTCGAATTAAAAAACATGTCAGGAAGACCCCCTCTAAAATGACTGGCAGAACACGCTGTTAAAATATTTTAACATATTTACGGAACACCCTGTTACGTAAATAAACTGACTAGCGCCGTACATAAACTGACTTTCCCCAGGGAAATTTATTTTCAATTACCTTTAAGAATTAGGCAGTTCGGGAATTAGTTGAATAGTGAAAAATGTTAGTTTTAAATGTACGAAAAAGGAACTTGAGTTTGATTGTGGTTCTTGCCTAGTTTTGGACGTATTTTCGATATTTTTTTCCTGGCGTTTACTTTTGAAGTTTTAGGCAGTATAATACTGAACCGTCTTCACTTCTCAATGCATCTTATCTCAATGCATCTTATCCTTTGCAATTCCTAATATAGAAACGATAAATATTTTCTGCGTTTTGCATTATTACATCTTACTTAATAAAATCCATAGTTTATTTTGAAATCCCTTTTCCTTCTATGGTAAGAATAAATAAAGTAAGGAAATTTACAAAATTAAAGATTAGTACCAAAACTGATCATTGATTCAAAGAGTCATTTCAACAAAAAAATATATAATGATTTTGATTATGTCTAGAAGTCTGGACCAAATTTAAGGTGCCTTATTCAACCTGAAACATGCCGAGCAGTTTTTATGCAGCAGCAACATTTCAGACTTTTCAACTTTGACTTTCTGATTTTGAGTTTAAAAATGGCGATAGTAAGTTTATTATGCGCCTTGAACAACCTGTTCTTGGTTCGGACTAAGTGGACATATGTTCAATGCGGCTTCGAAAATCCAGTCAGTTATTCGACTTGTTTCATATCAAATGGAAGTATGATGAAGTTCACAATAGTTATTTTTTGCTTCACAGTGTTTATTATGCAAACAGACGGAAGAAAGACCAGACATAGAACTACCACCGAAAGAAATCCTTTACCAGGTAATACTGAACATCTTTTGATACTGATACTTGAGAATTTTTATACTTTTATAAAAATTGAATCTCAAAAGATTGTCTGTCCTAAATTGTTCTAATGACGCAAAACACACATCAAGACCTTTTTAATGCCAGTTTATATACACAATTCTAAGACTATTGGCTATTATTTTTAAGTTCATATTTTAACAAAATCAACGTTGTTATAATTACTTAATGTGTGTCATTTCCAACTTTCCTTCTAATATGCTTTTGTAATTTGCCTTCGTGCTATTTAAGTCATTAACTGCCTAACTGATACAACCCGCAAATATTCTTTCAATATATTTTGCATCTTATCTTTTGTTCTTCAAATGCTTATCTATCAATACTGCTATTCAATATAACGATTGATCCGAGTCGGCTTGTATTTAGTTGGCAATCCATAATTTGGTAAATAACATAAAAGCGTTTGTTATTACTAACCTTGAAGAACTTGAACTACAACTTTTCAGGCTTCTCGAATTATTGAATTAATTTAATTCAAAATTCAATAATTTCGAAATAAAATTTGAAGATTATTCTAATCTGAAGGTCTATAAGTTTTATTGATTCCAGTTACTTATAAAATGTATGCATTTCAGTAATAACAACCACCAATGGAAATAGAGAATTACTTGTTGGCATCAACCCTATGTCCTGCCGTATAGTTAATCAGCTACGAGACAGCAGTGGGAGGTGTCGAGAAATCGCTAAGTAGTTCAATAAAATGCGGACAATATGGAATTGTTGGAATTTACATAAAAATTGAGATAAGACGTATATCAGTTAAATCCTAATAATTACATATTTACCTAATGCCTATGAAAGTTAATGAAAATGTTTCTTACTTATAACCATTTTTAACATTGATAACTGCATCCCGGTTGGTTGTATCAATTTCGCTAATAATTAAAATTTCCTTCTGGACGTTATTAAATAAAATTTTCCACTTATTCAATAAATCCTTTATCCGTGGTTTAATTTTAAACCCCTTTCCTTCTATAATAAGAGTCAATCAACCCAGCGAATCTGCAAAACAATATATAAGTGCAAAAACTTTATTTTACTCTAAGACACTGTTGATGGGTTCAATGGAAACAGTGTTAAAGCGGTTTTTTGACAAGAAAACGATCATCTGTTTGATCATGTCTGGAAGCCTGGACCAAATTCGAGGCATTATTCAATCTGAAACATGCCGAACGGTTTTTATATAGCAGCTTTGCAGGCTTTTCAACTTGCCAACACGAGAAACGGAAATTTAAGTTTTAATTGAAAAAACCCAAGCAGAAAAAATTAAAAACAAACTGATGAAATTGTGGATAACCAAACGTATTTTTTAACTGAAAAATAAAAAAATCGACATCCCTCTGTGGACTTTTCGGTGAAAATTAACATTTTGCATGCGGGTTTTTTGAACTCAATGCATTATTTTTGACTTAGTCGACGACGACTAAACAAGCTCTTCAAAATGTCCATAGACAGCGGTTGGTTCCTTAATTAATAAAAAAGAAACATTTAAAATGAACAAATAATTAAAAAATTTTGATTATTTCGTACCAAAAGCTTTCAGCCAGTTTTTAAATAGTTTGATAAATTCCTGGCTTCCTTGTTATTAAAATGATGTGGATTCGAGGCATTTTGAGAAAATTTTGAATCGAAAAATTGTTTGAGTTATGTCGACCCTCACCAGATGCACTATGCATATACAGGGTGATAAAGATGATAATTGCAAAATATCGTCGGGTAGAGATGATCGCTGATCGTGATCGCTCAAAACACACTTAAAATGAACAAAAAATGTGGACAATTTTGGATGTGAATCTTTAAGCAAGTTCCTAAATCAGGTTTTTGCATTCGTCGCTTCCTGGTCATAAAAATTATGTGAAATTTGAGTTATTTGGAGAAAATTGCAACTTGAAAATAAATCGACTTTGATAATGAAACTTTGAAATGCGGGATATTTGAGCTCAATGAATTGTTTCCGATTTGAGAAGCTTGCCAATATGTATTCGAAATGTCTTCGGATAAAGATTTTGCTCACTTAAAACAAACTTAAAATGAAAAAAAAATCCGATTTTTTTGGATCTCAAACTTTTAGTGTGTTTTTAAAACAGTTCATTGCGTTTTTTGTTTCCAACTGATTAAAATGATGTGCAGTTTAAATCAACCTACACCTCTCAAACTTTTATTTTCCTTGAAGTCTTAGTTTTTGCATCCTTTAAATTCCTATTGGCACATGGCCATGTGCTGATTTTTTATTTCTTCCAACTTACTTTCGGTCTCTTTCTTCGAAAATCTTCGAAATAATTTAATGTTTCTATTTTTTTCGCCTTGACCAACCTGTTTATAGTATAGTTAAGGTAATAGATGGATCTATAAAGGTTTCTTCTCCTAAATTCAGACAGTTGATTTGTCTGTTCCGTTAAATAACTTGTTGGAAATGAAAATTGTTATGTTATTAATTTGCTTTGCTCTGTTTGTGACAATGCCAGAAGCCAAAAAAAGAAAGCCTACAGCGACTACCGGACCCGAACATTTGCTCACTTCGTCTGAGACATCGATGTTACCAGGTAATTTGGAAAGCTGATTTTCAATGTATATATTGATGCTGCTTCGCGATTACTGAAAAGGTCTAATTAAAACGTCTTTACTAGTGCTCCTTCCGGAAAGACTCCGATGTTTTCATGTTTCTATTTTTCGCCTTAAACAACCGTTTTTTGCAACGTAATGGGTGGATATTTCAAGGTTTATCCTACAAAATTCAGACAGTTGATTTTTCTTCCGTAAATGGCTAGATAGAAATGAAAATTGAACGCGCTTTGAACAACCTGTTCTTGGTTCAGTTTAAGAGGACATAAATTTAGTGCTGCTTGAAAAGCACAGTCAGCTGTTTGACTTATTTTATATAGAATTTAATCGCCATAAAGTTGATAATACTCATTGTTTACTTCACCCTATTTTTGTGCAAACAGGCGGAAGAAAGACAAGACATGGAACTACCACCAAAACTCTCCAAATACTCTAGTAGAAAGTAATATTGAACAGCTTTTGCTATTAATACTTTAGTAAATTCAAGTTTACAAAAGATAGTGTTTTTTCCATAGTTATCCACTTCTGAAAGCATTTCCATAATATATTCCATTTCCATTTCCTAATATTATTAGGATGTGTTTCTCTATTTTACCAAATATATTAAAGCGATGCGCTGTTGATTGATAGGATACCGAACACCCTATCAATATAGGTAGTCAGTGTCCCAAAATAAGCAATATTTTTTTTCAAGTCCATCAAATGATCTTGTTTAGAAATTGTCACAACATATTGATATAAATAGTTGAAACAGGTATTCGAAAAGACATAAAGTAACTTTAGAAAGCTGATTTACACTTTATAATGTTATGAGATCTATATAAACAAATTAATTTTTTTTAACTTAAATTAAATGACGCACCACATACATAGCAATTTTTTGGGTATTGGATATCAAGGTATATGTAATAATACCGCTTTCTTAAATAATAATAACTGTGTCAGTTCCAACTTTTCTTTTGATATAATTTTCTGACATGTCTTCATCGTATTAAAAAAAGTCTGAAATGCCTGTCTAACGGAAAATACTTGTAGATGTATAAAATATGTTTTTTATTTATTTTTTTAAGATATATCGATCAAGTGATTTCGATATAACGAATGATCCGATTATGTTCGATGGTAATTAATATTTTTAATATTATCCTTGAAAAAGTTGGTAATTAATTACAGCTTTTTAATCTTCTAACATTATTGAATTAATTCAGTTCAAGCGTCAATAAAATTCAATTGTTTCGAATTAACATGTGCAGATTATTATAATCTGAAAACTACAGGTTCAGCAAGAATATTTTTCTAGTAAATTAAGTATTTCCCTCAGTTCCACTGGTTCCAATTTTAGTTGTGACAACGTTCTATCCTCTACATAAGAGTTTCGAAGTATTTACCAGCAAACCGATTGCCTGCCTTAACACGACTCAACGACGAGACAGCAATGGGAAATGCCACGACATCGATAAATAGCTCAAGAAAACGCGACAAATATAGAATTGTTGGAGTGTATATAAAAATTGAGTTAAAAAGTATATTATTTAGATCCCAATAATTACATATTTACCAACAGCCTTGAGAATTGAATGAAAATAGCTCTTAACTAATATTTATTATTGTTGCCATCGATCGATGGCTTTATAGAAGCAAATTTTTCACTTACTTAATAAAACTTACTTAATAAAATCCATAGTTTATTTTGAAATCCCTTTTCCTTCTATGGTAAGAATAAATAAAGTAAAGAAATTTACAAAATTAAAGATTAGTACCAAAACTGATCATTGATTCAAAGAGTCATTGCAACAAAAAATATACAATGATTTTGATTATGTCTAGAAGTGTGGACCGAATTTAAGTCGCCTTATTCAACCTGAAACATGCCGAGCAGTTTTTATGCAGCAGCAACATTTCAGACTTTTCAACTTTGACTTTCTGATTTTGAGTTTAAAAATGGCGATAATAAGTTTTAATTGAAAAAAACCTCAATATGGTTCAAGAAAGGAAAACTGAAAAACAAATTTTTAATTTAAGTTAATTATAGAGGGTGGCTCAAAATTGGCGTCATTCCTCTGGAGGTGTCGTCTGGGGTGTCTTAAGAGTACAGAAAAAATAGTTAAAAAAATGAAATGTTATAGATCAGAAGGATGGCAACAATGTTTTTCAAGGTAATCTGCCTAATTAACATTACGTAAATACCTGTTCGTTCATAATTTTTAAAAACTCCGTTAGCCATGGATAAAAATGAAGCAAAGAAAATGAAATAGACAATAACATGCGTTGCGGATAGGATAACGGTGTCACCTTGTGGTCAGTGCTGCGACAAAACAGACCCCCGAGTTCTGCCATCTTTTTGGGACAAATGAGTGATATACCTAAATCGGTCACAACTGTCATCCGAAACCCCCTGTTAAAGGTTATGTATCATTCATTTAATATTATTGATCCAATAAAATACACTTCTTTCGTTAAAACACAAGAAGTGTTCCCAAGAGCAAGAAGTCCTGTCCGTTTCACTCCAAACATCTTCGTGTCCCAATCACTTTGAGTCTGGGCTCCTATTTTGAGCAGCTTCTCGTGTTCCGTTAATTAACTGCTGCTCCATTTGAACCGGTCGTCAGAAGACCAGAGATTTAATGTGTTCTAGTGTCATGTGCATATTACATACATGGTAGGAATATAGGCCCTTCCTCGGGGAAGTTATCGGGACAATTAACTATGCGGTGTTTGAGAAAGTGCAGTTGTTGTGCAATGCTTCAAGTACTCCTGGAAGGCTCAGCAATAATCTCCAATACCTGTTTCTTTAGGTCTGGAAACCGAGCACCTTTAGATTGTCCACTAGCTGCGTCCATTTCGGGCTACTGGTCTTGTGTGTAGCTCTTTGCTGGTGTAAGTTCTTACCGCTTCTGCTATGTTACTGTGGCATTTCCCTATAACTAATCGCATATTCGCAAATTCGCTGTTGGTTTACATTTCGTGAAAGGAGCTTCAAAATAAACCACAGTTTGACAAATCCTCTCTACCTCTAACTATCTGTTAATGACAAAAAACATCATTGCCGCCTTGACTTTTCATCAAAAAATTGTTGAAGAGTACTTTTTTAATATAAAAAATTTTCGTAATAGGACAAAAAAATTGCAATTTTTCTTTTCGAATGTTTAAGTATTCCAATAGGCTTCCAATCAAACGTGGCACCTCTTGAAAATAATGCTTAATAACAAAGTTGAAATTCGATCTTTAATTGTTAATATCTTGCTAAAATTTTCGAAAAAAATATTTTCTATATTTTTCTCGTACTCTCTAAGTGGGTCCCTATATACCTTTAGAAGCAATGACGCCAATTTCGAATCACCCTGTATGTAACGAATATATTACGCTGTGAATAGTTGAAGTGGAAGCAAACACCTCAATTAAAAAATTCAAGTTAGAATTTTGACTTATTGTTAACGTAGCTAGAAAAGAGGATATCAGTGAAAGAAAGCACAATAACCTAAAAAATGAACGGTACATAGCTAGAGGGAAAAGCTGTCATACGTAAATACACGCACATTAAACCGTTGCTTGTTTGACCTAAGAAAATTTATTTTCACAAAATAAGTATTAAAAAGATATAGTAAAACTTTAATAGTTCAAAGTTCCACGAAAATATTAAAACAATAATCAACAAATACTTTATCATACGAATATCGCTCTATAAAATGTACACAGCTGTACGTTTCCAAACTACAACTACAACCCTGGTTGCCATCTACACTACACATTGCTGTCCCGATCCAGATCGCTGAAATTCCCTTGAACCACGATTTTTCTTCAAAACCAAAAAAAAAAACATTTAGTGGCTTAAATTTAGAAGAATACCTGTAAATCTGGTGCAATAATCTGGTAAATATTTACAATCAATTAATAATAAGCACGTATGGATTTTCAGTCATCTAGGTGCTGTTATACTCATATTATGTCTACTTACAATATTACGGTATATTCAATAATGCATAAAAAAATAATTAAATAAAAAAATAAATAAATCTTGATCTGGACCACTTACCGCCTGACGGGCAGGGGACGGCAAAAACTGGGAATAGTCGGATGGATCCTGGCAACTGAAATTCCCTAATACGAATCGTTGGGCAAAAATCTTTTCTTTAATGTCTTAAATTTGGAAAAATACCGCGAAATATAAACTGGTAGGCTAGTACCACTTGCAACCTCTTAAGGCGCTATCCGCTAGACCATCACAAAATAATAAATGTGACATACCTTTAGGCACCTATGGATTCTGGGGTATTATTAACTTTAAAAACAGCAAACATTTTAACTTACAGCAGAAAAGCATTGATAATTGATATCTTAGCTTCGAAGATAATTAAAGGTGTGTTCGCAACAGAACACCACAAATTTGCCTAATAAGGAAATCTGACGATTTAATTATTAATGTTTAAAAACTGAGCCAGAAAATACTAAACAAACCACGCGACACAAAACCTGTAGTTCACAGGAGAACGACATTTAGCTACCATTTATCCTGTACAAATTCATGTAAAAACAGTTTACCAAAAAAAAGATCGAGTAAATGTATAAAAACGGCTAGAAATGATTTTAAATTAGTTTTACAAAAATAAATTAAAAACATTGAAAAACCCAATACAGAATCCAGAATCTCCCTCGTCGTTTCTCGTCGAATAAATATGACACGCAACAATATCATAAAATACAAATCAACAATATGAGACTAAAAGTTCTACACCTACATGGCAACCGGGGACAAAGTAATGCCAAACTTACCCAAAGCTGCCTCGTGCCACCTGGAAAGAAAGAAGAAAATGAAAAAAAAACAGCCGAAAATCTAAAGCGAATTTACTTGAAAATGAGCAAAGCAAAGAGAGAAATATAAAGAATGCATAAAACATCAATTTCTTTTGGTAAACCTAAAATCAGTTCGAGCTAAGAGATTTACAGATAGAGAAGAGAAACTTACCAGTTTTCTGCAAGCTGGTGCTCCATCCACAATTTTTTTCCGATTAATCCTCCAATCCTCAAAACTCCACTTTATTGGCACCAAATCACTCTATATATATCCCGGTTAGACACCAGGATCAAAGCAGTAAGAACTTACCACTTACTTCGTTCGTTGCTCGTAAGAAACTAAACATTTGCTCTGCGTTTGGAAAAAATTCATGCGATATGAACTCAACCACAGAGTCAATCAAAGACTTCAATCTGAAACTTTTTAACGCAATATATCTTTTGTTTTTCAAATGTACCTGTATATTAATACATCATTAGATAAACAATTTACAAAGTTAGAAATTTGCATTTACACTTTAAGTTGTGAAATCAACCGTTGTCAAAGTATAATTTATTTTATTTAAAAATTTCAAAAAGTTGCTACATTTTGTAAGGTGGCTATGGAAGTCAATAAATAAGTGTCGCACCCCTTTCAAAAATGTTGATCAAAAGCGACAATTTTACATACATGTTTGCTGAGCTCATATTTGTCAAAATAAATTTATGTTAAAAAATAGGATCTATTCAAAACTACTTTGAATAACGCGCAATCCATCACTATTGTTTCGTTGGATCGACAGACAAAACGAGATAAGTTGGTAGAACGGGTTGAAGTTGTAAATTTAGAGATTCTGAAGCAGATACCATTTTGGAGTACTTCTATCTCCAAAAACATGTGCTGTAGTTCAGACAGTAGCCGGTTTATGAATGACGATTCCAAACAAAATTGCTATGAAAAAGTAAAATCACATATTCTACAATTGCACGTAATGCGATATAAGGAAAACTCCATTTCGGTGTCAAGTAGCAAGCATGATATGTAGGATTATGCTTCGGTTAGATTGAATACTAAATGAAAAGGGTTTGTAAGTATTATTTAAAAACAACGGAGAAGTGCTGGTTTGAAGGCAGTTTAAAACATAGAGTAGCGTCGATTATGCGAAAACGGAACAAACCTTTTTCAAAAATTATCTTCATGCAAGCAGTCTGATGACTTAAATGCAATTATTCCCTATTGCATCCCATGAAAAGAACCTGTATTGCATAAGTTTATTAACCTTGCAGAACCAGTTGATGGTTTCAGGTTTTCAACCGATAGGACCGATTAACGTCCTCATTGCTATTCTGGGCATTTCGTTGTGTTTGTTTCGTGCTGCTCAATCAAAATGAAAACTTTCAATTTTGCAATAATTTTTTCGTGCTTTCTATTCGTCGTTTCGGATGGACGTGGACTAAAGTCCGAAGTAAAGCCTTCACTTGGCAGTGTAGCTGCTCAGGAAAGTGATAAATTAGAATTTCCGAAGAAGCCGGTACTTGCCACTTCATTGGTTAGCGATGATTCGAGGCAAATCAACTCTACCAGTCATAGCGAAGCAGGTATTCAATTTTTAGCGCATTTTGAGTTTCCAAGACCAAGTGTTTATTCTATATGTACGTGTAAAAAAAAATTCTTTGTGGCTTAAGACACAAAACACTCTTTTTGACCAGGCCAGGTTTATTTCTATTTTGCAAGCTCTAATATTTTAAAATGTCTTAAACTTCAATTGTTTTTCTATTCATTTTAACTTCGCTGGCTTTTTTCTAAAATTCTTCTACTTAAGATAATCTGCTTACGTTATTTAGTTGAGATCATTAGGGTTGAAATCTGTACTTTCACTTATTTTTCAAACAAATAGAAATTTAAAAATTAAAAAATGTATGCTAGTTATAAAAATCGTTATAATGCAGAATGCGTTTCGTCCATTTCCAGGATACACGTTGGTCTCCATCGCTTTCGTAAAAGATAACCCCTGTGCAGGTAACCAGCAAAGAGACCAGAATGGAAAATGCCGAGATCCGGCTTAGTTTAAAAAATTCATACTTTTGTTAATCCATGTAATTCACAAGCTTAGATTCAATGCGAGTGTTTGCAGCTGCAATAATTATTCCAAATCAATAAACAAACAATTGCAGTTTTTTTATTTGCAAGTATGTGAATATTTTAGCAAATAAGCAGTTATTTACCACGCAATTGCACACTAATAAAAATGATAGTACACTTCGTCATTCAAGGCGGTTTATTAATCCTTCTGGAAAGTTTTATCCATCGCCTAATTTAGGTTTAGGTTTTTCATTCCAAATTAAATTTTTATATTTTATCATTATCTTAAATAGCACCATTGCCACCATTGTCAATTTTATTACGTAATATGATTTTGGAGCAACAAACTAATGCGAAACTAAGTAAATAACTTTTCCAAGTCAGTATGTCAGTTTATAATATATATTTCCATTTATATTCAAATTGACCTTTCTGCTTTAGCAGGCAAATAAGCTTGCTTTCCGTGTTGCCTCAATTTTTTCCTTTGGCAAAGCAAGAACTGTCGGATGGACTAATTTGCTTAAAAAAATAACCGAGATTTCGCTCCGAAATCCTAAGTTCAGATGAAGCTTGTTTGGGCTTTGACGTAGTTTAAAAGGCAAAATATTTTGTTAACGGCTCTGTTTTTAAAAAGGTTTTGCTTTGGAATCAGGACTTGTGTATTGAATATGCATGCGAAACAGTAGGATGTTTCCACTGAGCTCCAATGAAGAAAATATCGATTTTTAGAAATTTACAAGTTTGATGGGACCCATTGCGGCAACATTTACCTCAAAAGCTACGGGAACATCGGATAATAATAGAGCTCAAGCACAAAAGGGATTGTACGAAGTCGGGCCCGTCAAGCAATTATAGGGGCCATGGGTTGTGAGAATGACTGAATATCGCTATAGGTCTGCTTTGTCTTTATTTTAAATGTTTTCCTAAAGTGAACTGCGTGCTTACGCAGGACTTGGAATAGAATTAGGGCTGCAATTGGTTAAATTAACGCCGCTTTAAGAGCAGGCGATTCGATGCGAAGAAACGTCGTTTTATTCTATTCTGCTTTGATAATATTCCTGTAGTTTTACACACCATTCTCATATGCGAACCCATGCAACTAGTTAGCAACATCTCGACAGTTTCCATTGATGTCCCGTAGTTGATTTGGTTCTGGGCAGCTATTAATTTGCGTATCTGTCAGCGACGAAACTTTAAAGGAACCTAAAAAACATATTATTATCTTTATTTGTTTACAAATTCGACCCAACTAAAAATTGGCATTCAATAGAAATCTTACCATGAGTAGTTGATGTAATTTGAACTACTGTGTGATTTTCTTGCTTCAAGCTACCAGTTTCTTCCAGTTGTGTACATGCGACCTCATTAAAATGCTTAATAATTAGCACTAAACACAATAAAATTAATGTAAAAGTTGCATCTTTCATGCCGCCGTTCGAATACTGCACAATGTCACAAGGAACCAGAAAAATATGACTGAGGATGTCGTTAAAATAGAAGGAGTTTTGTTTTTATACACTTACGGTAAAGCGTATATCTGGTTTTTCAATGGTAATTGTTTGACTAGATTTATGATCTGGTGACTCAAGTTGATAAAAATAGGTCTGCATCTGAATAAGTTACATTGGTGACTGTGTTTTGAATCAAATTAATGCGAAAATCTTTATTTAATAAATATTATGAAAACTGGTGGATCTCTTAAACGGTCTACTCTTTCTAATTAATTAAATCCAAAAAATTGATTGCAATAAAATATGAATTAATGGAAGTTCAATTTCTTTTGTTGCTGAAAGAAGGATAGAATATATAAATTATGTTGCATTTTAAATCCGTAATATATTTTTTAATCTTTAGTCTATACAGGGTGATTCAAAGTTGGCGTCATTCCTTTTAAGGGGTAATAGGGGCTCACTTGAAAAGTAGGAGAAAAATATTGAAACATTTTTTTCAATAATTTCTAGAAGATATTAACAGTTGAAAATCGAATTTCATCTTTGTCATTAAGCATTGTTTTGAAAGTGTTCCATATTTAATTGAAAGCATGTTGGAATAATACTTAAGCATTTAAAAAGAAAAATTGCGATCTTTGCTTCAAGTTACGAAAATTCTTGAAATTAAAAAAGTTCTCTTCTTTACTTTTTCGATGAAAACTCTGAGCGGCCTTGATGTTTTTTGTCATTAACAGATAGTTACAAGTGGATTGCCCTTGTCAATAATAACAATAATTTGTGAAACTGTAACTTACTCCAAATTTTATTTCACGAATTTGCGGATATGCGATTAGTTCAGGGGAAATGCTACAGTAACATAGCAGAAGCTGGAGGAACTCACGCCGACACAGAGCGAGGAAGGTGGTTCTAGGAAGATAGTGGACGACAATTGATATTCGGGTTCAAGACACAGAGAAACAAGTATTGGACATAATTGCAGAAGAACTTTTCAGGGACACACAAAACATTGCACAATAACTGACACTTTCCCAGGCTCCATATAAATATCAGCTACATTCCTAAAGCGCATGGAAGATACACATTAAACCAATGAATAACTGAACACCGGTATAAATTAAGCAGGAATTAATTATCCGAATCCTAGAAGCTGTTCGAAAAGAGTGCATACTAAGGTGATTACACAGGCACTTGATGGAGTTACAGACTCAAATGCATGTTTTCGTAATTTGTAAACAAATTAATAATTCGAGGTTATGAGCTTCGAAATATGTTCCGTCATTCTAAGATTCCTGTTGAATTTACCGTTTATCCATTGTCTTATTGGCACTCTGTCACTCTCTATTTATCCATGGTTACCGGAGTTTTAAATAATTACGAAGTAACAGGTATCTATGTAATGTTAATTAGGCAGATTAACTTGAAAAATATTGTTGTCGTTTTTCTAATATAGTTTTTAGCAAATTTCTCAGTTTTTAATAAAAATTTATTTTTTTATTATTTTTTCTGTACTCCTAAAACACTGCCAGACAACACCTCCAGAGGAATGACGCCAATTTTAAATCACCCTGTATAAAGACGAAAGCTACTGAATGTTCTGTTTTAATAGCAGGCGAGTTCCATATTTTATTACATGTATTTAGTTGGTGGTGGTTTAAATTTAGTGGAACTACTGATGTGAGGAGCTGCTACACGATAAACCAATTAAAATTATAGCTAATAAATGATAATCAAGTGACTATACGTATATTTAATGTAAAAGGCCCAGAAGCAAATTAGTAATTGTGCTAGTTTGAACTAGCTTGCAACTAAACACAATTATTCGTTGAATTATTTAATCACTAAAATCTTCAATTGTGCTATGGTAATGAAGGTATTTGATTCAATATTCAAACTTATTTAGAAAAATCGATGAAATATGAGTTTATGACACAACTTTCTCACTGGACTTAAAATCAGCACCGAATATATGCTCTTAATAAAAAGAAAAATATAAACAAAAAAGTTCACTCCCACCAGATTTATTAGGATTGTGTTTAAGATCACTTTGAGGCTTATTTTAAAGAGTACTAATTGATTAAAAAATATAACTAAAATTATGTTTGTTGCGACGATAATTGGTACATGGAAAATACTATTCACTTTAACAAGCACATTCATTGCTAAAGCTTAGTGTGTATAATTAGAAAAATCATAAATCCTGCCAGCCTGTTGGTTCGGTTGTTAAACATATCCGGGTAGAAAATAACAACTTACAAGGCATCAATTATAAGAAGCAGATCTGGTTGATCCACCAGACTTCTTTTGAATGGCCACATTTCTAAGATTATTTGTCAAAACTATATTTTTCTTACTAATTGAAAGCAAAAAATATTTTTATTGAAGTTTACAAAAAATACCTCGATCTCAGATATTTACTGTTGTTCTAAACATTTAAAAATTTCAAGTGGTGTCTTTGCATAGAGGGCCGTAAGCCAAACACAGTCCCATTTCTCAGCTTCTCGTAATAAACTGGCAAAAGAAATATTTGACTTACATTCAAATACCACCCAGTGCGGTTTCATTATTCAAACCTTCTGGCTCAGTTCATCTGAAATATGTCGTCCCCAGGAACGAATTTTTCATACTTTCTTATCACTAATACATATTGCAGCCTTTTTTTATCTACCCGAGCGTCCTCTGGGAGCATTTTGTTTCACTATTTGAGTTAGTATTTTAAAATTTACCAACTCGGCTACATGCAAAGCGCAATTTATTGTCTGCTTCGACGTGCAAATTCCAAATCGTACTACGAAATAAACGCAACAGAAGCGCAAAACAAGAATGAAATCTCTTCCATTTAGCACAATCCGGTCGATGGAACAATTTCTTAATTGCTTCGGAAAGAAACCGAAATTTAATTCAATTCCGAATGCGAGAAAAGTTCAGAAAAACTTAAACAATTAAAGAGATTGAGAGTAAAAAGTAGATTGCCTAACAATCTAACAGGAACAGCTTCTATTAGGGAAAATCCAATCTTGGCTATTTTCAGCAATCAAGAAAAAGTTGTAGGGTGAACCAACCTAGCTGGGTAATTTTCTTTAGTTTGGATTTACCTTTTCCTGTGATTATGAACAACTAATTTTCTACCTCAATAATGAATCAGTGGATATACAGGGGATTCAAAATTGGCGTCATTGATCTGGAGGTGTTGTTTGGCGGGGTTTTAGAAGTACAGAAAAAGTAGTGAAAAAAAATAATTGTTATTAAAAACTGATAAATTTGCAAAAAGCTATATATGAAAACGGCAACAATGTTTTTCAAGGTAATCTGCCTAATTAACATTACATAAATACCTGTTGCTTCGTAATTACTTAAAACTCCGGTTACCATGAATAAATAGAGAAAGTGACAATAAGATAAACGGTAAATTCAACAGGAACCGTTGACGCAACTTATTTCGAAACTCATAACCTCGAACTATAAATTTGTTTACAAATTACAAAAACGTACATTTAAGTCTGTAACTCCAAACCAAACCAATGCCTGTATAATCACCTTATTATGTATGCACTCTTCTCGAGCAGCATCTCGTATTCAGTTAATTAACCCTGCTCAATTTAAACCGCTGTTCACTAATCCATTGGTTTAATGTGATCTTACATACTTGGGAGGAATGTAGCCGGTATTTATTTGGTGCTTGGGAAAGTGTCAGTTATTGTGTTCTGAGTGCCCCTGAAAGGCCCTTCTGCAATTACGTCCAATACTTGTTCCTCTGTGTCTGGAACCCGAACATCGATTGTCGTCCACTATCTTTCTGGCACCACTCTCCTCGCCCTTTGTTGGCGTAAGTTCTTTCAGCTTCTGCTATGTTACTGTAGCACTTCTCCTGAACTAATCGCATATCCGCAAATTCGTAAAAAGAAATTAAAAGTAAGTCACAGTTTGACAAATTATTGTTATTATTGACAGGGGCTATCCACCTGTAACTATCTGTTGATGACAAAAAACATCACTGCCGCTTTGACTGTCCATCAAAAAATTGCAGAGGAAAACTTTTTTAATATCAAAAATTTTCGTAATTTGAAGCAAACATCGTAATTTTTCTTTTTGAATGCTTAAGTATTCCAATATACTACCAATTAAACATGGAACACCTTCAAAATAATCCTTAATAACAAAGTTGAAATTCGATTTTCAACTGTTCATATCTTCTTGAAATTTTCGAAAAAAAAATTTCAATATTTTCCTCCTACTCTCTAAGTGGGCCCCTATGTACCCGTAAAAAAAATGGTGCCAATTTTGAATCACCCTGTAGACTGTTAAATTTCCGACCATTGCTTCAGCATCAACTAATCTTGTAGACGAAATGTTTATTCGAAGTTTTTCAAGCATTTTATGTTATTATTAATACAGAAATTAACTTTATATAAACAACATATTCCACGACTACCGGAAAAAATGGAAATCATTTAAGTATTACAGCGTAAAGTTATATTACTATAATTGTAGAACACATACACAGCTAATCAAGTTTCAACAAGAGTGAAAGATCCTCAAGCATTCTCTTGTTCAATTCGGATGAATTGGGGAAAAACTAAAGAACGGCCAATAAATACAATGTGACAGATCCAGTAAAGAAGAATCCATCCTGCCTTAAGCAGATAAAGAACTACTAACTTGACCAATAACAAACATTTCAAATATCTGCATCCTAAATCACATTGGCGACAACGGCAAAAGTTACTATTTAATTTGAAGCTCGAAGTAGGAAGGAAAAGTTGTCTAAGAAGAAAGAACATTCGGATGACTCGGGACATAAATCACGTGCTTAATAACAAAAGTGGCAGATTGTTTAAAAAATAGAATCTGGCGCAACAGAAACATCGGACGTGTAACGAAAAACCGACCTTATAAAACAATGCTTTCAACCAATTTTTTCGAGAAATATGCGTAAATATATGAGCAACATGCCAATCAGAGCAGATTAGCATCTGAGTTAGAGAAATAAACAAACGTCTCCACATACTGAATTAATCTTGGGTAAATTTTTCAGAATACGCACACAAGAAATCCCGAAGGGGCTGTAGCAGTCAGACCGATGAAGCGATGGAGTCCATACTTGAGGGAATACCAGGCAAGAACCAGCCTACCCTGAATGGAAAGAATTCAGGAGAAATTGATCAGAATCTATCTTGGACAAGTTAATTAACAACAAATACAGTTTGAACAGCAAAAATGCAAACAGCTGCATTTGTGTCGACTTATCACCGATTGTGTCCTGCTTAGGCTGTTTAGACAATGTTTGAAAAGATTATTTAAATATCAACTTGGAGACATTGCTGCATCTGCCAATTGCGAAGAATATTTATAAATTAATGACAATTTTACATACAGTCAATTAATTACTTTGTTTCCGGACCAATTATCTAAAGTTCATTTCTATGTAGGTTTTGCTCTTGAGGTCCAAAGGAATGTGTCTTCTGATACCCAGGGTTTATATCATTTGGTTTTACATATTTTATACATGTTCCAATGGTTGGTTATTATTTGTACTTACTTTGTTTAATCGCTTTGATTCTTTTGCAAGGCTAGATCGTTTAGGACTTTTAATTAATTAGTGCCCGGGCATGTAGAGGATTGAATGGGAAATAACTGTGACTGCAACTGTGCAAACTCTGAACACGTTTTCACTGTCAAAATAAAACGCATGAAAGTAATTTAATCTGTTTCATTACGAGCCGAGCAAAAGAAATAATAAAATATCCGGTTGGCAACATATTTGTCGCTAAAATTTAAGTGTTATTAAATCTTTTGTTCGAAATTTCTTTACAAAAGCAAGCTCTTTCTGCCATCTAATATATTATTTCTAGGTTCACGTCGCGTTCTCTTGGGACCAAGTCTGCCGCCTTTGTTTCCTTTTATGCTGCAATTCTCTTTTCATATCTTTCGCTATCTCTGTTGTATACAAGGTGGTCTACTTAGAATTTCAAAAGATAGCTAAAGAGAGTCAATTAGCTCTTATTTAGGAAGCGAACTTTTGCACACAATTTTTTGCTTAAATTCCTCCCAGTGGATTAACCGTTAAACAAATCGCGGTTTAATAGGACTGATAAGCATTAGGATGAGGAAATTATCGAGGAAAGTGTAAGATTTATGTCGAACAGAAGCAGTTTTTTCCTTTAAGTAAGTCTATCTGAACAATATAATTTGAAAGCGATTTAATTGCAGCACTAAAACTCTTAGTTTTCTGCATTCTTGTCAAGGAAAACTTAAAACCTACTAAGAGAGGAAGCAAATGGGGAACTAACGCTTTAAAATATTTCCAATTAACTTTTCTACATGTGTGATGTAAAAACTCCTTTGTGGAAATTGTTAACGAGTTTGTGCTTTTTACACGCTATCCAAAAATGTATAGTTTTGCCTTTAAGTAATCAAATCAAATCAAATCAAATCAAAATATGCTTTATTGCCACGGAAAAATTCACAAAATTAATGGACAAAGCGAGTAAAGAAAACAAAACCAAATACAGTAGTACAGTACAGTCAACAATGGTAAAAAATAAAAAATATAATAAAACAGTACAAAATATATCACGTACAATCGTCATGGACAAACACAGAGGTCATCAGAGTAAGTCAACCACCCATCGCTACAAACGGTGCAGAATAACCACACAACTTAAAAGTGGAAAACAGTAAGTCTTTCTGATCAATACAATTTGGAAGCGATTTAGTTGGAGACCGAAAACTCTTAGTTTTCTTCATTGGTTTTAACGCAAGTTCAAACTGCATTATGGTGACTGCCAAAAATGCCCCAGTTCCAATGTTATACCCGTTGTTTCGACTAGCTGTTTAAATAGTGAAAAAGGATACGCGAAACTTCTCGGCTGCAATAACAGCTAAAATACTAGCAATGTTTCACTATTATTCAAAATAGGTCCCATTGTAAAATAAGAGCAAGTATTTTTTACTTTTTATTCAGACGAGGGGCAACTGTATATAGAACCAAAATGTTCAGTTGAAATGATAAAGATGCTTAAAAAAGGTGCAGGAACGAGGAACATAAACTAACCCAAACTAACCCAGGAACCATTTGTTTATAAGTAAAGGGACAACTGAAAGGCTCTTAACGGCAATCATAGGTCATACCATTCGCATCAATTACATCTTTTTATCCAAATTAATAGGGGGTTTAGAAATATATTGGCAGATTAAGTCTTTTTGTCCCCTTTCAGGAAAGGAATATAATTGTGCCAACATTATTTGCGAAAGTTAATTTTTTGGCCTAGATTACTATCCGAAACCCATTCCCGCCCTAACTTTCAGAGCTTTTATCTAAAACCCATACATTCAGCAAACCCCACTTACCGCTAGGTCTAGCTTTCACGCAGAGCGATAAAACTAAGTTTTCTATGTGAACTCGGACTGTCTTAAATCAGGGAACGTTCACCAACTTTTTAGTCGTTCTTGACGACTTAATCTAAATCAACAGAAAGATTCATTTATCAACAAAACAATGCACGGCTATAACAAGAACTGCTCTATCTCCGCAACCTCGGTCTTTGTTCCCCTTCAGTCGGCGACCAACCTTGTTATCATTGAACCCCTAATCGTGTCGGTTTTCCCCACTTACATTCCGTTCCATTTATTTAGCGAAAATGCCACGCATTTCGACGACAACTCGGAAAAATTAATGGCGTTTTTCTAAACGTTACGAAAAGGAGAAACGAATTGTTGCCTCCACACCGGCCCTACTTGATGCAATAAATTATTTTATAACAAAAAGGTGGTCTTGGCCGTTGAACCGATAATTGCGAAAAATGCCAAATAACAAAGCCTTTGGGGCTTTTAAAAAACAGCGAAAATTATTCGCGAATAGCCTTTCTCCACTCTATTTACTAAACTAGTTTTCCGCAATATCAGGCCGAAATTAATTTTGCATAGTATTTTCTGGCTCACCGAAGGTAAAGGAACGAGAATGCATGGAAGTAAGGCAATAAATAGGCTGAAATAAAGAAGCTTTCTCACTTTGTCGGGAGCTTTGCCTAACGAGACTTTAGAACAGCCGCATCGGTCCGGGCTCTTGTTCTGCCTTTGTATTGCCCCTTTTCGATGTGCTTTTTCTCCTCCAGTAAAGCAAAACAATTTAAATGCGGGTTTAGTAGCAATTCCTTTTTGGATTGATGAGGTTTTCCCCAAAGAATCATTTACATTTGCCTACAAATTACGCGTTAATATGGAAATATCGCAGGCCAAAGAATTGTGTCAAATCTATTAGCGTATTACTAAAGCAAAACAACTACGTTTCGTCAAATACAGGTAATTTGGCCCAATTTTCCAGCTGTTTTATTATTTATATTTCAGGTAGTTGGGTCGCTGTTTAGTAATTCCGATGTTATTGAAATCCATTATTTACCATTGCATTTCCAAAAGTTATTTTTTACCTAAGTACAAGAGTATTAAAACGTTTCTATCCAGGATTACCTTGACTTTAATGAGGCAAATTGAAGAGCGCTTTTTAATTCTCGCCGAAAAAGTTGTCTTTGACTTGAAACACCGCGATCGTTTGTTATCGAGCTAGAAGAATAATCACAACAACCATAAAGAAACGACATTTATTCTACTCTATCTGTGCTTTAGTTAATTTAATTAACTTCAATGGCTTCCTGTTGGTCAAAAGAGCTTTCAATAAATCTGAAGGAATCTGAAGCTCACATTTTTATACAGAAAATACCCTTCGATTTATAAATCTATGACCTGGGACAGTTACGGGCTATTAAAAGACCCGCCTTCGACCCAAAATGGAAAAACTCCCTATAAAGTCGAAATATTGGCTGACCAACGTTAAGAAACGGTTTAAATTCTGTCTCCACCAATAATATATGTTACCGTCAGTCGGAAATTAATGAAATCGCTCTGAGTTACGTGGGTTTGGGGAATTTATTTTGGGCAAAATTAAATCCACCTTGGGTCCAAATGTCGTTTTCAACATCGAGTAGTTCATCATGCAGTAACAGCATACAAAACTCTGCGCCAACCGTCTGTAAATCAAAGTTACGTTTTCCATAAAAACGCGAGAGTATGATGGCTGCTTCATCTCCAGCTATGTGCATCGTGGAGTATTTAATTAAAATTCTGTTTAAACTTTGGCAAAATTACAAGCAAACTGCATCAGAATTTCACGCTAATTTTAAAAAAGAATTTAAAATTTTGCTCGTGCAAAATATGAATATATTCAAAAACTGGTATAATGGCTTTTCCTACTTCGTGTAATTAATGGATTTCGTCGTTGAAGTCACTAGTCACTCCACAAGTCCCCTAATTGAATAATATCTTTTTAAAACATTTAAAATTACTTCCAAAACTTGATAAAACTTCGTAATTAGGTAATTGAATATAGAAGGAACTCCCAGGGCGGCGGACAATCGATAATGGTGCACATTAAACCAAACTTTCGGTCTTTTATAAGTGTTTATAATGAGCTAATTTTATGAGCTGCCAGGGAATTAAATCGATCAAAGCAACAAGAAAATTCGGGTTGTTATTAGAACTTGAAGTATGACTGCAAATTCGCGCAACGAAGTGAAAAAGGTTATTTATTCGAGACGATTCTCACTTCCCCTTCAGAGGCTTTCCTCGTTCTTTTTTCTACTGAGCACCGGAAATATTATGCAAAATTAATTTTCGTTTCATAGTGAGGAAAATGTACTATAGAAGGAACATAAAAGGAAAAAATAACAACAAAAAATCCTCGCTTACGAAATGGGCTGGTCGCGATTCTTGAAGGCCGCTAATAAAGTCGACAATGACCTCAATTCAAGTTTTAAAGATACAACGTGGATGCATGCCTGGGGCATGTACGGAAATTGGTCAATTTTTCATAGTTTATTATTTATTGGTACAGTTCGTTTAATTGATTTATCGAGTCTAGTACTCAATGAAGCCTCATGTCCTCCTGCACCAAAACGTGCAAGAGTTAAGTTAATTTATTACTGCAGTTAACTATAAAATAATATAAACAATTGACATGAATTAATCCTAAAATTAGGAACGGTCGTAATGTTAGCGTTCAACTTTGCTCAAATTTAGGATTAATTGTGACATAATCATCGATATAGGCATATATATATGCAAATTTTCAAATTTACGTTTCATTTTCAATTTACAAGACATTGAAGCAAACATTTCCAAAAACCCCCATTTTGAAACTCCTCTTGCTCTATTTTCATTCAATATTCCAAGATAAATAATAGAAAATTATTAAAAAAATAAATCCACACCCTCAAGAATAACAAGCGACGTATAACCAACGAAAAACAACGTATTTTTAAAATCGCATTGAACAGCATTATTTTGCGGGCACAAATATCTCTTGCAAATTGACAAGTCGATCTCTCCAGCTGAAATGATCGATGGTATAAACGTAACGTCTATATTTGCTTTGATCCCTAAAATGAAAGAAACTAACCCCGACAATCGGAAAATGAAGCTGACCGCCGACTGTTACTCACTTAATCGCTCGTCGCAAGAGAAGCTGAGCTCACATAACTTCAAGTGGATATATTTGGACGTATTTTAAAGCCAGTGTTGATAGGGTTTCAGTTATTGGGAAATTAAGTTTTCATATCGACAAGAGAAACTGTAGTGGATCTCAAATTTGATTCATTAAGTTTACACTAAAATTTCATTGATTTGCGCAGTTCGTCTTAAACAACTTTCTCAAAAAACAGGAAAATAAACCACCTAACTTATGATAGAGAACCTCATCCATCATGTAAGAGCCCATTTATACATCCCTAGAAAACTCGCTAAGCAATAACCGTAGTCGATGATTTGCGATTTAACAAACCGCTGAAGAGTGCAATTATCAACTATTTAACGATTCGATAAACGGTCTTTTTTTCAATTCCATTGAGTTTTCTGAGAAGAATTTCCGACAACCAATTTAGCAGGTAATTTTAAATTCAGCGAGAATAAAAATTTCACGGCTGGCACCGGCTTACCGCAGCGAAGGTAACGAAATTATAAACTAATCCCGTTTCCATTATCAAAGAAGGCTTTATAGCAGCTTCGTTATCCTTTGTGAGAAACATGGACGAACTGCTCTCTTCTCTCTAATGAGTCGGGTCCTGCGATCTGTCGGGAATATCAATACACTACTTGGAAATCCACAAACATGCGAGTTGCCAGATTAAATTCGTCCTGTGAAGTTTTGTGTCGATTCGTCTTTTAGTTTTCCTCGCTGTGCACTTGAAACGTCGTTATCTTCACACTAGTTGCCTGCGTTGGCTGAATGTTTGAGAAACCTGTCGATACCAGTATCCATTTACCGTTTTGTGCGCTTCGAATTGTGTTAAAGTGCGGGCTTTTAAACGGCCCCGGGCTTCTTCAAATTTGCTTAGCATGAAAAATCCAAATTTGTTGAAAATTGTTTGCCATCAAAATATTATTCCAAAGGATTCCAATAGAGAGCAATTATTGCCTTCAACATGGGTTGAAAGTTGAGAGTCAATAAACAATTAATAAAATGAATAATACATTTAGAAGCTAAATCAATTAAACCAAACAAAACTTTGTAATGATAAGGAAGATACCGTCTGTCTGCTCAAAACAGACAGAAAATGTTGACTATTTGGGAATTGGAAAGGCCCCGGTGTATTTTAAAGAGCTCGTTGCATTCACTGTCTCTTTCCGATGAAAGTGATGTAAAATTCGAGGAATTTTGAGAAACTTGATATTTTTTCAAAAATCGATCACTTGGTCCCCCTTATGAAAATTTCGACCAAAAATCAAAATTTCGCAACCGTGTTTTTGTATTTATTGGATTGTTTCCGACCTAAGAATCTGCCCAATATCGAATATGAACTTTGTGGGTTCATAATAAGGAAGATATCCTATGTTGAAGATTGCGACCGCTCAAAAACTATTCAAAATAGACATAAAATGTCGATTATTTGGAAACTGGAAAGGTCCCGGTGTCTTTTAATTAGCTCGTTGCATTCCATGTTTCTGTCCGATGAAAATGATGTAGAATACGAGGTATTTTGGAAAATTTAAGTTTGTTCAAAAAAAAGTTAAACCTCTTATGTATGTTTCGACCAAAAATCAAAATTCTGCAACCGTGTTTTTTGCCCTTGTTGAATTGAAACATGACTATCAGAGTGAAAACAAAGTTGGAGGTTTCAACTGTAAAATGCAAAATGAAAATAGCTTTATTGCAGTTCAATACTAAATAGAAACTTGTTATCGGCACAACAATCTAAAATCCTTTCATCAAACAAAATATTTTATAACACGAAAAAATGTAATTTAGTTTCTAGTCCAATGAATCCTTTAGTCGCAGATAACAGTGCTCATAGATAATAAATGACTAATCTCAGCTTGGCACGATTCTCAAATAAACTCCCAATAAAGAATATCAGAACGGGCTTTGCCATAAAATATACAAAATAGGTCAGATCTGGATATTTGGAAAGCTGCCAAAATGCAGACGCCTTCTCGGTCAGACTGTCGGGGTTTTGTTTGTTTCTGGCTGAAGGTTGCCAGCATAATTTACTGCCTAATTTCTTCAGATTGAGATTTTGATATGTGGCTGCTGACTGTAAGAAATCTAGATTTATATTAAGGTTATTCATTTTTATTGTAACTTGAAGATGTGAATCAGTTGTGTTGAGAAACATCGAGCTGAAACTATTTTCTACTGCGTTTTAAACGCCCTGGCAACTAAACAGTTTCCAACTCAACTCCGGCCGTGAGAGCCTACTTTTTGGTGTTGTCGACTCTCTTAATATTGTATACAAATATTAACTTACCTTGGTTTCTCACTAAATGGCGTCGAATCCTTCAACGAGACGGAAAACACAAGTTTGGCCGCTAGATAATCAATATGTTTATCAAACTAGCCCAGGAAAGCCTCCGCAATTTTCAAAGAAAGTCCGATTATGTTGTTCCCAATTTCACTTTTAATCTCTATATGAGTGCTGTGGCTGTGATTGATACAAAATCAAATGAAATTCCACAGCTCCAGTGAAAACGTTTTATTTTCATTAAATAATAAAATACATTAAATATCATTAAAAATTAATATAAATTCAAATATCGGATGATAAATTTTGGAATCAGTAATATTAACATTAATCGTAATTACCATTACAGCGAAATTTACATCCTATTTTATACGAATTTACATCTATATGTGAAATATGCTAATAGATAAAAGTATACAAGGACATATTTAAATATATGATGGCTAAAGCCCGTATGTATGTTTTACCTATTTATTAATAGACTAAATCTTGAAAAAATTGATCAGGTTATTTTTTCCATTTTTCTTCCGTTTTATAGTAAAATGTACCATTGCGTAGTTTAATGATTTAGATTTTTTTGCAGTTTATTAATGACTTGCTGCTTTCAAATTTTGACACAAGCAATTGAAAAAAGAACCCGATTGTATAAATGAAGTTCTATGAAGTGAACTGTATACAAAATTTAATTTGCATCTTCATAGCATAGTTCTAACATCCTAAAATGAAGGGTTTTAACAGTACCTTTGGCATTATTTACATCTTAGCCAGAAATCTTACTTCGATCACATTGATTTTCTTTTAAATTTATACACAAAAATAGATTTCGTATGTTCGACTAGCAAGATTTTTCGCTACTTGAACGTCTCCATTAAGGTTAAACAAGATATATCACTAATTGACTTTATAACAGTTTTTAAATTATGTCCTATACGCTATATTTGTTAAAGGATCCAGTGTAACAAACAGGAAATTTTCTTCGGAGTCAAGAACTACATGTTAAGGAAGTGTAACTCAGAAATCAGGAAGTAACACGGTTAATAAATTTTTCTAGACACAGCCCATCGACTAATAACAATTTCTCTTAGATTAAATTAACTTTAAAAATCTTGCTAATCGGTTTATCAACTAAATCCCTATTTATTTTCACTTATGTATGTACACTAAGTTATCAAGTTAATTGTTAATAATGATCAAAGCATTTCCTTTTCCCATTATGTGAAACAACATTCATAGTTTCAATGGTTTTCAACGCAGTTTCTGAATATATTTTTTTTGTACAATGGTAGGAAGATAGATCTCATACAGGAGTTAAAGGATAAATATCTGAAACGTGTAAATAAAACTAAATGGGTCTTTTCTAAAGAAACAATTTTGTATGCAGCTAGGCGCAAAAATTGGAGAACTTTTCGTTTTTTTTTTAATTATCGTAACATAAGCCACTAACCATTAATGAAAATTAAAAATTATATTAATTGTTGAGGATGATAATAATTCTGAAAATATCATCATATTCTAGCAATTGCTGCAAAAGCCTAAATTTTTTGGAGAGCAGTTAGTTAAAAAATTAATAGTTTAGAGTTATATGTAATCAAAAGAGATTTATTTGATTTTCAGAGACATTTCAGCAAACTTCTCATATTAATATGCTATTAGAGTTTTCTGTACCATTCAAAATATCAGAGAATAACTACTCAGTATAAAATAACTTGTTTATGGTAAAATGTATATGTAACGATGTAAATTGGCAACATATTTTTGTTAAAAAGAAAACATAACTAGCAGATAATTTCCAATAGTAATTCTAAACTGAAACTCTACGCAAAACCAAAAAGAAGGAAAACAAAACAAGCTCATAATTCTCAAATAAAACTTTACAAAAAAATTAGGAAGTAACAGAATATTTTACCAGGTGAAAAAAAGGTTTTTTTCTTGAAAAATTTAGGCTTACATGTCGCATACGTTTAAAAAAACTCAAATTGAATCTAAGTACCTCAATCTCCATAGTAATGTAATAGCCGATTTAATTGTTCGGTAATCAGCCAAGTAATAATAAAACAAAGTAATTTCCTTGTTAGAAAACGTTAAATTCCGACATCATAAATCCACCCAGAAATATAAAGTTAAATTAAGCACCGTTGCTTCCAATAAGTTCGTAAAACTTTAATATGCACACCCACATTTTCAAACAATAAAAAAACAAGCCAAAACTCCTCATTGACTATAAAAAAAAACCCTGGCCCAATAAAAGATCAAATCAAACTGAATCTTCTACTCTATCTCAAATAGTATTATTTTAATTAATTACAATATCGATAGTAAGTTTTCCAAAGTGTGGAAAATGGAAGGTGAATGTTGTAGTAGTACTGAAAAGCCCTTGAATTATTTCCAAGACTACTGGAATTCGTAATTACGGCAAAGAAAACCGACTTTCCATTTTTCCCTCCTGGATCTGATTCAGTTACGTGCGATGGCTTATTCGCATTCCAGCTGCGTAATTTTCCTGAGAAAACAGCTGCCCAGCACGCGCATAAGCAATCTATATGCAACAAATATATCGGTCCATAAAAACTCTTGAAAAGCGTTATAAAAGCCCATTTTTTACTCTGGGACTGACAGGTTAAATCAATAAACTACAATATGCATGGACAAGCGCCAGATAGAATGCGAAAGCAGCCGGACTGAGGTAAATTTTGGAGAACCGTTTCTCTTTGCGGAAGATTAAGATTAAGACTTTTCTTATTGCACTTGAAGTTTAATAAGGCAATGTCTAGTCAATTGAACGAAATGTACGAAACATCGGCACATATATTTAATTACTAGCTAGCAACTAATGATACCTCAAATATTAATAATTAATCCCGAAGTTCAATTAAACCGGTGAGATTGGATATGATTTAGTGCCGTTTGAAACCGTTGCATCGATAAATTAAATATCCTACACTCCTTATGGACCCAACTTTGTTCTCAACTACATCGCAGTTTGCCAAACAGACATTAGTTGACGCAAAGGGATTAAACGATTTAATATATGATGAAGATTACCTTTAAGGTAGTATTCGCTGAATTCGATGTTTAGTCAAAGGGATGTTTGAATAGTTGCAGTCCACCCGAATGTTTAACTAACAAATTTACAATTTCTTACAGTCTTATTTCGACTGGTGAAAATATAGGAATTTCTGTAAATAATATACACATGTGTGAGCAAGGAATGTACACTTAGGTTATTTAACCTAGCCTAAATTATCCTATCTAGCGCCCTATTTATAGTAAAGCCAAATAGATACACGCAAAGTCTTTGGCTTTTCATAATGTCACATAGTTCTCCTTCCACTTACCCAGAAACTCTTATATTAGTCCTTTTATACAGAACCAAGCGATTATAATTATTTTTGTTATCAACAATGACACGATTGATGCGCATCCTGTTGAACCTGAAACAAGAACACCTAATTAAAAGAATGAATAAATTTTAGTTGTTTTATTCAAAACGTTATCAAAATACAGTTTACTCTGTAAAAAAATTCAAGAAATTCATTGTCAACCAGCCAAGGAAATAAAATCATAACAATTTCAAGTAATGTAAATATTGCATATATAATTTCCATACACGCCAGTACTTTAACAACTACATAGTAAATTTCTGCAGCAAATCGAAACGAGATTATAAAGCGCCCGACCAGAAATCATTCAGGAAAATAATCTGCCGCGTCCGTTTTGCTGATAAATTGAACCATTACTTTTCTTTGAAGAGCGCAAAGCACGCAAACCGTGCATTCAGGTGCAAAATCGGCAAACATAATAAATACAATTTTATAATATACCTTGAATTAGTTTACTTTTCAATATTGCCAGCAAAAATTCGCTAGTGCTAACGTCCGTAATCGTAGGTAAAAAAACTTTCATTTAAAATGCTCACACAGAGACTCTCGTAGTTAGACGAAGAGAAGCAATAATCATAAGGGCTTTAAATACGCTCTAATTATTATTTATTCATTATGTCGCTTAATAAAATTACAGTTTGTTAAAGTAAACAATCAAAGATTTGTCGGTTGAAATTTTTTGGGACTCATAACTCGTGGATTTTCAGCAGAAAAAGAATCGAACTTCTCCGCCCCGATTTTCCATACGCACAGAATAGTATAAATATAGCGGCATCCTCAGTTGAATAAGTACTACTGAAGCCTGGAGAAAGGTTTACACTTCCGAACCACAAGATACACAGAGATGATAGGCCCACCAGGGGCGGAGGCACACTATTCGCAGTTAAGCACCACGAGATCGTCAAACCGTCGATACGACTGGAGGAATCCATGGTGGCCATCCAAATGGAGAAGTTGGAGATCGATCAGTGTCGGGTCAGTACGTCAGTGTAAGCGCTACGTTGAGTCCCGAGGATGTTCGAAAACTTTTCCCAGATGACAGGCCAACGATACATAGTGGGGACTTCAATGCCAAAAACTAGAGCTAGAGGCATCATGCTATCAAACAAAGCCATAAATGCAATGTTTGAGATAGCCGCACCTCTAGAGCCGACCCACGTCGCCCATAATGGCA